CAATTCTTGATAATTCTGGAGGACAGAAGTCACAAAACACAGGATTAACAACTAAGAAGTTTTATGGTAACAGTGTGGAAAAGATTCCAATTGATATTGTGGTGAATTGTGATGATACTAGACACAATTACATACAGACTAATGGAAAAATCATTTTACCTGGGGGAAAAATACCTAGAATTACAAACTCAAAAGAAAGAAAAACAAGCCTGTCAGATCTGAATGATCCAAGTAAGTATACTTTTTCTCTCCCCCCCACCCCCCCTTTTTTTTGAAAATCAGACTCATGGGCTCAAGTGATCCTCCTGCTTCAGCTTCCTAAGTATGTGGGATACAGGTAATGTACCACCACACCTAGCTTAATTCTACTCTTTAATAATGCTTATATCAATTTGATACTTTTCTTGTATATTTTTTAATGTGTGTATATTGGAAAAACAGTTTTCAGAGGTATCTTCTTGTGGCAGATACGTAACATTTGGGGCTTAAATGATTAAAACATGTCCCATGTAGCTGTGAAATAGTAACGGACTTTGTTCCCATTCCACCCATCTTTGTGGTTATTGGTGGTGGTGGTGATAGTGGTGTTTTTTTGAGATGGGGTCTCATTATGTAACCCTGGTTGGTCTGGAACTTACTATGTAGACCAGATTCACCTCCAACCTGTTTCTGTCTCCAAGTGCTGGGGCTTAAAGGCATGCACTACCATGCCTGGCACCCTTTCCACCCGTCTTAAAATAGTAAATTTAAAAGCAGTCATTTGGTTCTAGTCTCCAGTCAAATGCCAGCTATGCCCAGCTTGCTCATTTGGCTTATTTAATCTCATCTAGAAATAAGTGAATTTCCTATAAACTTTGTCTGTAGTGTGTGTGTGTCTGTCTGTCTGTCTGTGTCTGTGTGTGTGCATGTGCAAGGCACTCAACAAACTCAGGTGTTATTCCTCAGGCACTATGCACCTTGTTGTTTGAGACTAGGTCTATCACTGGCCTAGAACTTGATGAGTAAGCTAGACTGACTGGCCACTGTGCTCCAGGGATCAGTCTGTCTCTTCTCCATAGCGCAGGGTTTACAAACCATGACCAGCTCTTTTTTTATGTGGGTGAATCAAAATCAGGTCCTCAATACTCATAAGGGTTTACTATCTGAACTATACCTCCCCAGTCCCCTTGATAGTGATTTGAGAAAATAAATACAATTAACATATGAATACCAAATAAGCATAGTTCAGTAAAATATTTGACCTGAGGAAATAAGTCATTTCTCACTAAAATTAGTTACTGCTTGCTTCTCGAAATGTAGAACACAAAGTATATGAGATGAACCTGAGTCCCAACCTCATCTGGAAGCATGGCAACAACAAAAAACTGAGTTAGAGCCAGGCGTGGTGGTGCATGCCTTTAATCCTAGCACTTGAGGTTGGGGGTCGGGGGACAGAGGCAGGTTGGAAGTGAGCCTGGTCTACATAGTAAGTTCCAGGCCCACCAGGGATACATATGAAACCCTGTCTCAAAAAGAAGAGAAAAATAAATAACACCACCACAGACAGGCAGATCTCTAGGAGTTCGAGGCCAGCCTGGTCTACATAGTGAGTTCAGGGCCAGCTGGGGCTACAGGGAGACCCTGTCTCAAGGACCAAAAAAAAAAAAAAAAAACTGAGTAAGAAATCACTGTGGACTCAACACAGGATACAAGAGCTATACTAACAAGGACTAAGAATATCTGGTCACAGAAAGTTATAGCTACTAGTCATTTAAATATTCAGATTATCCTAATCAGAACCTGGGCATGGTGGCACATTCCTATAATCCCATCACTTGGGAAGCAAAGGCAAATTTGAGACCCTCCTCGTTTGCATCAAGTGTTCCATGCTGGCCAGAGCTGTATAAGACCCTGCCTCAACAAAACAAAACAAAGCAATCAGTTCATTATAATAACCCACTCCCTTTTCTCCCCCAACAAGAGATTAAAAAAAAATCAACCCTTTGGAGGTTGCTTAGAGTTGTAAAACATTACTCTAAAAACTGGTAACTGAAGGGAGGGAAATTGAGGTGGTTCTTTTTTTCATTAATACCACAGAAATATGTCATCCTATTTGAATTCCATTTAAAGATCTCCACTCATACTAGCACTTTAGTTTATTTTTTCAAAAAGAACACAGTTAAGAATCACTATTTGGGCGTGACAACACATGCCTATAATCCTACCACACTGACAAAATTTTAGCACTTGGGACTCTGGCAGTGGGTTCAAGTGTTCAAGGTCAGCCTGAGCTGCATAGAGTCCTAGGCCAGTCTCAGCATTGGGGTCATATCTGAAATAAAACAAAGTCAACAAATTTTACTGATATGACAGTTGGCCAACCATAATTTATATATTTTGATGTTACTTGATCAACATTTATGCATTTTATGGGGGTTTACATGCATTATTAAATATTGTCCACATGATTTGACTCTTCATAGTGGTTTAGTTTTTATTTCAGTGATGAAACCTAAAGAGATCTCTTATTTACTGATTCCTGAATATTGTCACTGAACTAAACTTTATGAAGGAAACATAAAATCCCAGTCATTTCTAGGATGAGTGTTACTAGAAATTGGTAAGACTGATTTGACAAGTTTTTTGTTGTTTTTGTTATTACTTTATCATGGGACTGAAGAGATGGTTCCATAGTTAAGGGCACTTACTGCTCTTGCAGAGGGCCAAAGTTTGGTTCCTAGCACCCACATCAGACATCTCACAGCCATCTGTAACTCCACTTTTAAGGCATCTGATGTCTCTGGCCTCTTAAGGGCACCTATACCCACATGCATTTACACACACATATACACTTGCACACACAATCATGCATACTTAAAATAAGAAAAATAAATCTTTAAAATATTACTTTTTTAGGGACTGGAGGGATGGCTCAGTGGTTAAAAGCACTGGCTGCTCTTGCAGAAGACCTAGGTTCAAAAGTAAAAAATAAAGTTTAAGTCAAGTATTTTCTCTAAAAACTTCAAAAAATATGTTTCAATATAAGAACGTTATATTGAGAGATGTCATTTGGTACCTGTTTTCCTTTGAGATAAAGGTTTATGCACAAGTCAGTTTTAATTTAGTTTTTGAAATTGTGTAAAATAGGTACTAATATATTTAATTTACAACTGAGGCCTCAGGAGACTGACTTCTTAGTGTTATATACATATATGATATTGGAGTTTATATTAAAATATAGTTTTCAGATTCCAAGGTCTGTTGTTTTAATATAACAATTGTAAACTCTTACTTATTCCTATTAAAGAGTTTATTATGAAGCTTTTATTCTACTGTGAATACTCTAAATAAAATATATACAATGTCTCAGTGGTAAATTTCATATTAAGAAAACAAAGTAAGGACTGTGCATACATTTCAGAGGTATATGTCATAGGTCTGGCATATGTAAGACTGTGTGAGAAACAGGGTGCTATTTTAGATGAGTAAGAGAGTAGGCATCTTTGATAGGGCAGCTTTTTTTTTTTTTTTTTTTTGGTTGAACTCACAGAGCTCTCCCTGTCTCTGCCTCCCAAGTGCTGGGATTAAAGGCATGCACCACCATGCCTGGCTGATAAGGCAGCTTTTTTTTTTTTTTGAGACAGGGTCTCTCTGTAGCCCCAGCTGGCCTGGAACTCACTATGTAGACCAGGCTGGCCTCAAACTCACAAAGATCCGCCTGCTTCTGCCTCCCAAGTGTTGGGATTAAAGGCGTGTGCCACCATGCCTGGCTAAATATAAAGCATACAAAAATAAAATGAACAAGAAGAAATACCGAGATCAAGATACAAGGCACAAGTTTACAGTATAAGTTCATCTAGTCAGGTTGCCAGAGAGCATACTACTGCATACTACTTAGTGAGTTAAAAGAAATTGGGAGTCTAAGATTGATATCTAGTGTGGCCTCTTCCCAGCTTACATATGGCCGTGGTTTAGGTGAGTCTACACATAGTCCTTCTTTTCTCTCTCTCTCTCTCTCTCTCGTCCTATTGGATTGAAGCTCCACCATTAGGAATTTATCTAATCTTTATTCCATAAGGCCCAACCTCCAAATATTATTATTATTATCAAGAATGGGGAGCATGTATCATTGTAGAGACCAGAAAAGCAACTTTGTGGAGTCAGTTCTCTGTTTCCACCTTTACATGGGTTCTAGGAATTTAACCCAGGTCATTGACCTTTACCTGCTGAGCCATCTTGCTGACCTAGTGTATATTTTTCAATAGAATAAAAGCAGCTATGAGAATAGCTATTTATCTTCAATATCATTGCTCAATTTCCTTATTTGCTTTGCAATTATAGTCACATTAAGCATTGTTGTACCTCATCCACTGGACCCCAGAAAGACCACGGAGGACCCAACACACCAAAATGCAAAAGCAAAGGTTTATGGTTTATTCGGGCTTAAGCTCGGGCTCTCAGACCTCACCAACTCAACAGATCTGTGCTGAGAGCCCAGAGTAAGGGAGAGTGGAGCCTTTTATAGGTTTTAGACAAAG